GTATATCTTTGGCCCTGTGTTCCTTTATGGGGAAAGAAAACCAAATAATTACCATTTTTAAGCGCTGTCTAAAGTGTGTGCTGAGCATTCACTGTAGAAAAAGAACAACTCAAAGACCAATATAGCCAAAACATTTCTATCAATGATGAGCGTAACTTAACAAAACTACTGTTTTGTGTTGCTATGTGTGAATGAAGTCATGTGACACATCAGGAGTGACCCCTGCCTGAACAGCAGAATCCCTCCCAGTGAAGCCTGCAATGGTTTAGTTGTTGTCAGATTAAAGGAAAGGAGCGCCAGCCTGAAACGGGCTGTATATCACTACGTGTAATATATCACTATTTGCCATCTCGAAACAACCTGTTTTCTGGTGAACCCTCATGATACCACTGATGGTTTTATTCGATAGCATACACAAGTGAAAAACTTGCATGGGTGTGGATTTGAAAGGATGTGGCCCTTTACCAAGAATGACCTAACAACCATCCTGAACTGCATTATTAAAAGAGGTCCCACACATTTAAATTCGAAGCGAGCTCTTGGTAGCAGGCTTTCCTAACATACTGCTTTTTCTCAATTTGACCTACTTAAGGAGCCTTTAAAATATGAAGCGCAGAAACGCGTAGCGGGCCCAGAGAATGAAGAAGAGCTGACGGAGCATCATGGGTGGAACCGGGAACAACAGCAACACAAAGGAAACATTGCAGTCCAAATGGATTCCTAAAGCCTGTTTCACTGTTAAACAAACAAGAACGAAAGAGCGTGCGTCATTGACAGACGTTGACGTCATTGTGTTTGTTAACAATACGCAGCTCGATGCGGTTGATCAGCTCCGGCTCCTGAAGGCCTCACCGTGCACACAAAGAACTAAAACATCCACCGCCATTCACCCACATCACCCTCTTCCTGCAGTCTCCTCTTTCTCGCTGTGCGCGGAGGAGCTGCGGCGTGGATGCTGCTGCCATAAAGTAACGCCATCCATCCATCCCCGCCACACACACCTACACCCTGCGATCACGGACACATTTCCCTCGGCCGGCCCTTTCCGCAGTTTACCTTGTAGATGAAAAATCACTCGGGCATTAATCCATGATCAGCACGTCGCTGTCGCTGCCTCGATCACGGTTCTTCCACCGGTGCGGCGCAGAATGGGCGAAATAAATAATTATTACGAGCTGGTCCTGCGTCCAATCGCCGAGCTAAAGATGCGCCATAGACAGAAAACCACATTCGGCTCCTCTGCAAAGTCGTTCGCATCCAAGCACAAGAGCTTGTCTATTGTGTTTTCGATCGCCGAGTCCTACAGTGGCCCTTTCTGTCTCGTAATTTCTCCTCCACACACACATGCACACACGCAGAGCGGAGAGGCTCAGTCTCATTTAAAGAGATAGGCGAGGGCAGCTGGAGCAGCGGCGTGCACAGAGCCACCGTGTCTGCTTCTTATGTAACCCGAGGAGCAGCAGCTTCTGCATGCTGCACACCCCGAAAACCAAACACCAACAGCTGCTTTACCTGTGCCCGTGTGTGTATGTGACTGCTACCTGAAGCAACAGCGCACGTCATTCTCCACTCGTGACAGACAGCAAACTTCACTGAACCCCCATTACTGTGGAGGACACACAAAACTGTGTGTAGGCCGCTCATATGATGCAGAAGTTGGAGCAACATTAAACAATTTGCTCATGAATAAAGAAGCGAGTTATTTAACTCTTCACCAACTGGGTGACTCCGCATGCTCCGACTATTACAGCATTTGTAAACATGCTCTGTGAAAAACTGGTGTTTGACCTTAAGAAAGAGTTCAGGCTGCCACAGTTATCCAGATGTAAGGTCAGCAGCATATGCAGATTCTCGTTTTGCAGTCTTCTGGTCACCGATTTTGGGAAATGCACTGATCCTTGGAAGTTTTTACTTTATGCACTGAGGGATGTACTAAAACGATTATCTTCAAAGACAGCACGGACAGGGGGTGAAGAAGAAAAACAGAAGAGGGATGCTAAAAAGTGGCAGACATATGCAGTCCTACTTTTAAACTTGATTCTTTTAAAACTCTTCGTTACTATAGCAACACAGTCTTAGTTCAAAGGAAAACTACTTGAAAAGTAAGCCAACAGAGCGGGGACAATACACCTTCATTGGAAGTTATAATAAAATGTAGCAAGAAAGGTGCACAGCTTATCTGACCAATGGGCAAACTCCTGCCCATTGCATCGATCGTTTTGTCATTTCTATGATATTATGATTTATTCCTTAATATTCCAGCACACTTGCTGCACATAGCAGGCGGCAAAACTGACTTCTTTCCAGTTCACAGAGCCCTTACATTCGATATCTTAATTTCAGTGATATTTATCTAGCTGTGCTAGAAAGTATCATCACATCTGACTCTTAATATATGGTGCAAATACATTTGCTGATTATAAAACCTGAGGTTTGTCACAAACAG